AGTGGCGCTATGGCTCAAATGGTAGAGCGCTACCCTTGAGCTGAAGAGCTGAGGGACAGCGCCCAGGCCGAGAGTTCAGGTCCCACAACCGGACCAAAAAAAAAAAAAAGAATGAAATCCAAAGTCCTTCCTACAGCCTGTGAAGTCCTTGCAAGAGCTGGGCCCTGCCCTCCCTCTACTCTATGAGCTCACCTGCTCCCTTCCTGCATGCCCCCCTCCAGGCTTACTGTGACCTTGCAGTTTGTCTGCCTGTTCAACATCCCTATCTGCAGCACCTTGTCACTCTTGACACTGATCAAGATGCATGGTGCTTACACTGACATGTTGAACCGAAACTCCTGTTTACAACTACTTAAGACTATATAAAAAATGTTAAAGAAGAAACATACCCTTGCTGCTTTCAGTCAGCAGCTGAAATGGACTCTTTTATTCCTATTTCGTTAGGACCCCCCCCCCAGCCAGAAGTTGGAAGTGTAGGTAATCTGACAAATTTATTTGGTCTCATTGATATTTTCTTTCAAAAAAAACAATAAGGTTAATATTATAAATTAATCTCTTCCTTCCTTTCTTTTATTCTTTCTTGTTCCTTTTTCTGTTCCCCTTTGACATGGCCTTCCTTTTGATGCATCTTCCAAAAATGGAAAGCCTTGGACTCTGCTGCTCAAAGAAGCTTCTGGAGCATCTTAATGAGTGAGCCTGTAGACAGTAAGGAGAGTGAGCAGTACAGTGAGAAAGTAAGTTGGATAGAGATTGGAGACACTTGCCTTCAAATATTGGAGCAGGCGGCACTCATAGATGACACTTCCTCACATAGCTACATGTTTGGCAGCATTCTAGAAAGTTCCATGGGACTAGTGGCCTGAGCAGGAAGCGCTCAACCCAGCAGCTCACCAGCCCAGGGCTTTGTCACAAAAGGATTTTAGGCAGAGGTGTGACCCATCTAGATTTGTCTTTATATTTTTACGTTCATATCTTGAGTCAACCTAGTTTTTGAGTCTTGACGCTCAGACATTTTAAATATCAAAATGCTAAAAGTAAAAAGCCTTTAAAATGAATCGGCTCTACCACCTTACCATCCAGAAATAACTGCATGGCTCTTTATATAACTTCTGGAAATGGTCACACATGTACAAACATACAACTAGTCTCATAATATGCATTCTATTTTATAGCTTACTTTCCCCTTATTACCTATTTTAGCAATTCATAGTATTCTATTGTATCCAATAGCATCATTTAATTGTATTTCTCCTTTTGATTTGTAAGATTGTGTGTGTGTGTGTGTGTGTGTGTGTGTGTGTGTGTGTTGGTACTGGGGCTTGAACTCAGGGGTTTGGGTACTTACTGTCTCTTAGCATTTTTTCTCTAGGCTGGTGCTATACCAGTTGAGCCATAGCTCCACTTCCAGCTTTTTGGTGATTAATTGAAGATAAGAGTTTCATAAATTTTCCTGTTTTGTCTGGCTTCAAACTGTGATCCAGCAAGAACTTTTTAAACATGAAAGAATGTATTCTTTTATCTAATATCTAGGATATAACTTTTTTCTCAGTTTGTATTATGTATCCCCAATTTTTATGGTACTTTCTAGTCTTTTTTTTTCTTCTTGAATAGTCATATTAATCACTTTTTTCTCTGATTAAGTATTGTTTTATGGCTAACAGAATGTTTGATGTTTATCAAAAATATTCTATAATTCATTTGTGGTTTTAAATATATATATATATATATATATATATATATAATTTGGACTTTTGGGGGGAAACAATAAGGAATGAGGATCCAGCTGAAGTCCCCCACAATATTGATGGAATTGTTTTTCATGAGTGACAGGATCAATTTTGCATCTTTAAAGGTCACCTTGGTAACCTCATTGATGATGGATGGGAGAGGGAGACTAAGGACTGAGGAAGCAGTGGTACAGATGAGCAAATGAGGACATCTGAGTTCCAAGCCCATGCCCAGCCATGCCACAGGACAGGGTTCCCCTCAGTCCACTGGGAAGGTGAAGATGGTGGACACATTTGTAGGATAACAAAGTTCCATATGGGGCATGTTTGAAATACCTGCAGACATCCAGATGCAGTCCACTGGAAATCAAGAGTAGACCCTCTGGATCCTTGCAGGAAGTTCTTGGCTGAAGATTTTGACTTGGAACCTGTGTTAGTTTGCTCGGGACACTGTGACCAAGTGCTAGAAATGGAGTGGCTTAAACAACATAAGTGTATTGACTCAGTTCTGGAGGCTAAAAGTCCAAAGTCCAAGTGTTGGTAGTCTTGGTGTCTCCCGGGGATTGTGAGGGAAGGATCTGCTCCAGCCTCTCTCCTTGGGTTGTGCATGGCATCCTCTCCGTGTCTCGCACCTCCCCATCTTCCCTCCATGTGCTTCCTCTTTTATAAGGACACCAGTCATGTTGGATAAAGAGCCAATCCAGCGGCCCCATTTTAACTTTCCCTCAATAAAGACCATACAAGGTCACTGTCTAAGATCCTAGGGATCAAAACTTTAACATAATGAAACTAGGAAAGGAGAACATAATTCAATAGGTGACAGAATCTTTTGCATATAGTTGAAGCCTTGGAAATACAGGAGACCCTAGGAAATTATTTTATTGCTACTGCCAGGTAATCAATACCTCCTGTCCTCCAAACATAACAGCAATTATTTGGTTTTCCTATAAAAGCCTAGGAGTTTTTAGTCTGCCATTGGCAAGGGTGGTTTTAGGTGAGTTGTATGGAATCCAGCATGGAAAATAAAAGTGATAGAGGATGCTAGCATGTCTTCTTTCTTGGGTAACTATCATAGACTGGAATTGAGCCCCCACAGGTAAGAGGTAAAGGCAAGTGGTTCCTTAAAGCCAGTCATGAAACCTGATGTGAAACTCCAAACACAAGAGATACTGTCCTACAGGCCACATGACAAAGGACGGTCCAGAGATGGTACAGAGAAAGTCCTTTCCCTCTGATTTCTGTACCACGCTAGATCCTAGGGCTACTGAGCTGACACCTGGACACAGACATTGGCATCTCACAATAGTGAGTTAGCCTGTTTGGCATCAAGATACTCATGAAATAAAGAGAAGTTCATTTTAGCTCATCGTTGTTGAAGTTCATGTCCGATTGATTTGGGCCTTTGGTGAGAGTGGTACATCATAGTTGGAACACATGTCAGAGCAAGCTGTTCCAACTGGAGCCAGAAAGCAGAAAGGGGAAGACAGTGATCACCCAATCACCTTGGAGAGCATGTCTCCTATGATCTAAGGACCTCCTACTAAGTCCCACCTTTTAAAGGTTCCACACCTGTAATAACACTACTCTAGGACCAAGCCTTTAACCCATGAAACTTTGGGGGCAGAGGCAGCATTTAACTTCCAAACCAGACATAGCATGTCTTGGGAAAGTCATATTAAATCATTTTCCACTTGCTGATATTTCTTATTGTGGTTCTTTTGCAGTTTTCAAACATCCCTTATACAACGTTTCAAGTCAGTGAAATGGTATCTCCCAGTGAAGTGGACGATTTCACTGACAGTTCTCTGAATAAGCAGATAGAGAGTGAAAGCAAAAAGAAGCAGAAAAAGCAGTAAGTAACAAAAGCTGAGGCCATGAGCTCTGGAAGATCAGTGTTGGCAACATGCAACCAGCAACTGAGAAGAAGCAGAGCCATGCATGTCTCCTGAGCCATGTCCCCTGGCCCAGGCCAGGTTCAAGGGCAGAGATGAGACCTAGGAGTCAGAATCATCCAGCTATCAGACCAAGACTAAAACCAAGAGCAAGGACATCAGAAACACAGTAGGCAACGGGAGGAAACAAAGGAGGCCTGCAGCAGAGGCTGAAGATCTAGGGCAAGAAAAGTCTTGGAAGAAGGCCAAACTTGTACAAAAGTATAGGGAACAAGGTTCAGATTCTGTTCAAAAGAGGAACAAGAGTATCTAGGATCAAGCTCCCTAGCTTTCTCCTTGGCAGGCTGGTGCTTTTGGGCATATACTAAAGGAGGGAGAGCTATGCATTTCACTGAGTTGAGGGGCCAGAGTGCCAGGCCATGAATCAGAGAATTACAAGTTTATTGCAAAGCTATTCCTGGGACCAAGCCTTTCTAGCTGGCAAGACCTCAGGTCCCAAGTATTTGAGACCACATTTATATATTTAGCCTGTGGTACAGGATATGGTATCAGAAACTTGAGGGGATGAAGGGTCTATATGGGTGTGTAGCAGATTCTCCAGCAACGGCACTAGCACAGACTGTGGGGGACATAATCACTGTGGTGACTTCAGACATTTACCAAGTCAGCAAGAGATCCAGTAACCTGCCAGCAACTTCCACTGTGAGCTTGGTAGTCATGGGCAACAGATCCCCACCCAGCTTCTCCAGGGAAGAGGAAGGCCAAACATACATACATACACACACACACACACACACAATTCAAAGAACTCCCAAGAGCAAAACATAACGCATAACAGCCAAACAAACACCAAGTGACATCCTGGTAAGCCAACCTTGCCACCGGAAGACTCTCTCCTCCCCTTCCTTCCCATCTCAGCTATCACAGAAGATCCCTAGCTCCAGATCCTACTCGACAGCTCCTTTCTGAGTGCCCGCTTTCAGGGCACAGGCATATGCATCCCACAGCCTCTGCCACTGAGGGCAAACAGGTAGGGATTCTACACACTTGCAATGGTGGGCAAAACACCAAGGGAGAACTCTAAATCCTTCCCAAAAGGCCTTGGGTGCTTCTGGCTAACTCTTATTGCTTTGGATATCTATCTGTCATTTGGAAGAACAAGCCCCTTATCCTACCCTGCCCCTTGGTCCTTACTTGTGTGTGTGTGTGTGTGTGTGTGTGTGTGTGTGTGTGTGTGTGTGTGGAGAGAGAGAAACAGAGACAGAGACAGAGAGAGACAAGCAGAGAGTGTGTGTGTGTGTGTGAATGAGAGAGAGACAGAGACAGAAACAGAGAGAGAGAGAGAGAGAGAGAGAGAGAGAGAGAGTGTGTGTGTGTGTGTGTGTGTGTGTGTGTGTGTGTTGGTACTGGAGCTTGAAGTCAGGGCTTGGGCACTATTCCTTAGCTCTTTCATTCAAAGCTGGTGCTCTACCACTTGAGCCACATCTCCATTTCAACTTTTAATTGGAGATAAGAGTCTCACAGACTTTTCTGGCCTAGCTGGCTTTGAAGCACGACCCTCGTATCTCACCTTGCTCAGTAGCTAGGATTAGAGGGGTGAGCCATTGCTTCCCAACTGGTCTGTACTTTTTCATAAGGGTGATAGTTTCAATTCCCCATGCTTGGGGGGAAAAAAGGGACCATGAAATCTCATTCTCTGGGTCCCAAATGCTTCCTGTGAGAGTGTATATACCACTACTGAGGCTTGCATTCAGGGCCCTGAGTTCTCTCTTTGCATTTTTGCTCATGGCTGGTGCTCTACCACTTGAACCACACCTCTGGCTCGTTGGGTATAAATAGCAATCCACTGATGGCTGCTAGGTGAAATAGTATAGCCCTTTCCAGCAAAAGATGTTCACCCCAGAAGTTGCTCTTAATTAAATTATCGTGCTCTCTTGAAGGAATGTGGGCTAGACATTTACAATCTATCATAGCAAAGTTCTCTTTCTCAGATCCAATCATGGCTGAAACACTCCCTTACTGGTGCCTTCCCTTTCTAAGGGACTCTGATCTGAGAGCCAGGAATCACAGCTTCCCTGGAGACGGTTATTACCGAGGAATAAAACAATCCAAGCGTTGAAAGGCCAGAATGACTCACTTGGTATATTGACATGAAAAGGATAAAGGGCTTGATCATTTTGAAAGTCTAGAAACCAGTATCACTTTCAGGATAAGCTTTCTGAGTGAGCCTACTTGTAAATTTCCTGTTTGACTCAAAGGGGTTTCAGATGAGTCTGTCTGGTTCATAGATGATGCAGTTTTCCCAAGCTATTTTGGAACATAAACATCCTAGTGATATGGACAAGGCATAGGAAGTCAAACTCCACCAGCTTAATTCTCCTTGGCACGCACGCGCGCGTGCATACACACACACACACACACACACACACACACACCTTCTTTTCCTGGCCTGATGTGACTTGGTGCATTCACTAGGAAGTGTTTGAAGTCAGCCTATATGCCCAGAGTAAAGATCGGTTAGATCCCTGGTGGGGGACACTGAATGGACATTGCATACCATCCCTTTATCCCTGAGCACTAGCTAGAAGGGAATCTAGGTAAGATGGCGGAAACATCCATTTAGCTTCCTCCACATAAAAGACTGCAGGTGCTAGCCACACATAAGCATGAATGAAGCCTTGACTTTTAAAGATGATTCACATTCCTTTTAGGATGAAGAAACATCTTGAGTACAGAGACTCAGTCTCAGTGTCGGTGAAGCCAGAAGGTAAGCATTGGTCCCTACTATCCATCCCCCCTCCATGGCTGCTCTCTTGTGGGCATCTAGCTGCTAAGGACTGCTCACTCAAGTCCCTTCAGGGCTAGGAAAATCCTTGCTGCAGGAGACACAATTTCATACAAAACAGACCGAGCCTAGATACAACGTCAGGGGGCTTGTCCCATGGTAGGGGTGAGGCTGAGAATAGGCAGGACAGGGAGAATTCCTAGCATGCAAGGGTCCCTGGGTTCCATCCCTAACATTGAAAAAAATTACTTGTTGTTATAATAATAGACAAAAATTGAATATAAAACAGTGTCACAGGGTGGGAGGTGTGGCTCAAATGGTAGAGCAACTGACTAGCAATTGCAAGGCCCCGAATTCAAATCCCAATATCACCCCTTAAAAAAATAAAAATATTGCAGTTAGGCATTGGTGATTCACACCTGTAATCCTAGCCATTGGGGGGGGGGGGAAGATTAGGAGGATTGTGTTCTAGGCCAACCCAGGGGGGAAATTAGCAAGACCCCCATCCCAACCAATAGCTAAATGTGGTAGTATGTGCCTGTCATCTTAGCTGAACAGGAAAGCATAAACAGTATCTAAGCTGACCCTGACACCAAGTGAGACCCTATCTCAAAAATAACCAGAGTAAAAGAAGCTGGATATATGGCTCATAGCCTGTTTAGGAAACACAAAGCCACTGAGATCAAGTACTAACACACACACACATACACACACACACATACACAGAGGAAGTATTGCTATGAAAAACTAAATTGTATGCTTTTTTAAATTAATTTCAATAAGAAAATAGTGTTTGAAATCAAGCATGGTGTTGCACACCAGATACTTGGAAGGCTGTGGGGAGGATATCAATCCAAGGCCATCCCAGGCAAAAATGAGAGACACTATTTGAAAAGTCAACTAAAGAAAGAAGGGATTGGGTGTAGTTTAAGTGGTAGGTAGAGCACAAGTAAACAAAAGGCTGTGAGTTTAAACCCCAAAGGAAGGAAGGAAGGGAGGGGAGAGAAGAAGGGGAGGGAGGAAGGGAGGGAGGAAGAAGGGGAAATGGAGGATAAAGGGGGAGGATGGGGAGGAAAGAAGGGAGATAACTTTGAGAGGGAAAAAAACTGCTTTGAGTTAAATGTGAACCAAAAGATTGATGAATGTGTGTATACAACAACAACAACAACAACGTTTTTTAAGATAGGTCTCCATACAGCCCAGGCTGGCCTTGAATCCTCTTGCCTCTACCACTCAAACACTGATCCCATTCACGGGCCTGAAACTTTTGAAAGATTCTATGATTTTTCACTCAGCCTATGCAAAAATGTCCAAAACTGAAGAAAGATGACAGGTACTAATAAAATCTGGGTGAGGTTTGAGCCCCAGACATTAAACCTTTTTAAGGGCACCAAGCCTTGCCCTACATTGTAAATGACATATTAATTTACGTTTATGTTTTGAACAAAACATATGGCAAGGATGGATTTGCCTCTCTAACTGACCCCTCAGCTGAGCCTTTATTTAGCAGCCACACCTCTTGTTCAATGAGTATTCCACTCTCTGCTTTGGAGTTAGGACATGGTCACCTCATCCCTCAGATCCCCATACCTGAATGAAAAATTCCAGGCTAAACTGGAATCATAGCCCCTGCCTTTCTTGCTTCAAAGGCCTTGCTCTTCCTCCTACTTGGCAGCCTTTTCACTTGGAAAATAATTCCCCAAACCTTCAAGCTGCTTTGGTACCTTGAGAGATCCATCTTCCCTAAAAGTCCTATCCAATCCAGTCACTGAACTGAACACAATCATTCAATCATTGGCAGCTCTCGAGTTCACCACTTATTCATATAGTGTATCATATGAAACAACCCTGGAGGCTGAAACAAAACGCAAGGAGAAGTTGGAGATGGAAAAAAGGAATACTGAGCTTCAGAATAAACTAGAACTAGATACAGAGTGGATGCAGAAGATGGCGAAGGTAAAGACAGCAGGGTGGGGAGCTCTCGCTTTGCACAATGTGTTTCTTTCCTTTTTCTTTTGCTCTTGGCTCAGGTGAGACACACACACCAGAACACAAACAAGAAAAATATCTAATGTGTGGAGGCCTAACCCAATGTGGGTTATTGGCAGGTTGATCAGGATTTTACAAGGAGTTATTAAGATTCTTTTGTTTACTAGACCTATAAGCCTATAAAAGAGAGTAGAATAAAGAAAATACATGTAATAGCCTCCTCCTTTAATATATTAGAATCCAATACACAATGCATAAATGAAGAAACTGTTGTATATCCATACAATAGAATACTATTCAATACTAAAAAGAAATGAGCTACTAAGCTGAGAAAAAACCCATACCTTGACGCTTAAATATGTATTATTAATCAAAGAAAGCCAATCTGAGCCACTAGGTGCTGGTGGCTCATGCCTGCAATCCTAGCTACTCAGGAGGCTGCCCCAGGCTGCTCTCTTCCCCGGTGTACGACCTCTGACTTACCTTATTGCTCATCTGACTCACCTGACAAGCCAATGAAGAACTTCTTTCTCTAGCCATGTGAACTGAAAGGCTTTCCCAAGAAAAATCACTTGGACACATGGTTACATAGAAAGGAAAAGAAATTTAATGTCAGAAACCTGACAGGCTAACTCACAGACTGAGAGTTGCAGCTAGAGGGGACTAAAAGCCCCAATATATGAGATTTGGGTGGGACATGAGGTACTTGAGAGAAGAGGGTGGGGGGATTTCATTGTGATGGGACTCGGATTTATGTTTGCAGCTGCCTGCGTCACCTGATAAGACCTGTGTCAGCTAATTTCAGGAAAGTGCCTGTGTCAGCAGATTTGGGGGAAAGGTCATGCTTTACATCAGGATAACAGAGTGGCTCCTAAGGTAGAGGAGGTTAGGCTAATGTGAATAAGCTGTTTATGCAACAACAACAGCTTTCAAAGAAAGGAAGGTAGCACAAATCCAGGAAAGAATAGATGTTCTAGATTCTCTAGAAAGGGAAAAAAGGACATGGGACAGCAATACAATGTTAGTGGTCATTACTGAAATTAAAACTCTGAAGAGGGGCTGGGAAGATGGCTCAGTGGTAGAGCGCTTGCCTTGCATGCCTGAGACCCTGGGTTTGATTCCTCAGCACCACATAAGCAAAAAGAAAAAAGCCGGAAGTGGTGCTGTGGCTCAAGTGGTAGAGTGCTAGCCTTGAGCTGAAGAGCTGAGGGACAGCGCCCAGGCCCAGAGTTCAGGCCCATGACCAGACTCCCCCCCCCAAAAAAAAAAACTCTGAAGAGGTGGGAGAAGGGAGACAAGGAAAAGGAATGGAGGTGAGTCTGATCAAGGTCCATGATATGCACATGTGGGCATGTTGTAATGAAACCCTTTTGTATAACTAATTGATGCTAATATAAAAGTGTATGGAGAGTGAGGTACAGGTGGCTCACGCCTGTAATCCTAGCTACTCAGGAGGCTGAGATCTGAGGATTGAGGTTCAAAGCCAGCCCAGGCAGGGATGTCTGTGAGACTCTTATTTCCAATAAACCACTAGAAAACCGGAAGTGACGCTGTACTTCTACAGTGTACTTCTACAGGTAATAGAAGTACTGGCCTTGAGCTGAAGAGCTGAGGGACAGCGCCCAGGCCCAGAGCTCAAGCCCCATGATCAACAACAACAACAACAACAACAACAAAAAGTGAATGGAAAAAAGAAAATTCAAAAACCAAACCCAAAGAAGCAAACTCAATAATTATTAATAGATTCAAACAAAACTGACTGAACATACTTGGGCAAAGAAGTGGCTTTCTTTAGGTGTTTTTGTTTGTTTTTGGGTCCAGTTGTGGGCTTGAACTCTGGGCCTGAGCGCTGTCCCTCAGCTCTTCAGCTCAAGGCTAGCGCTCTACCACTTGAACCACAGTGCCACTTCCGGCTTTTTTTTTTCTGTTTATGAGGTGCTGAGGAATCGAGCCCAGGGCCTTAAGCATGCAACGCAAGCACTTTATCACTGAGCCAACTTCCCAGCCCCTTTCTTTGGGTTTTATATATTACTTTTTATTTTTTTATTAGCTTACATTATTGTCACTTTTCCACACATATTTAGTGTATTCTAATCAGTCTCTTTTCTTCCCAGATGCATCAAGGTGATGGCCTATTACTTCTCTATCCCAATAAGAATGCCTTCAAAGTTCTCTTTCCTGATGGGACAGGCCAGATCTAGTATCCTCTGGAGTAATGAGGATGCTCATATTGATGCATACAAGTGTGTGATTGGGGGCTGGAGTATGGGACTTGACTGAGGACTGTGTCCTTTGAGGGAACAAAAAGAATGTCCCAAGTTAATGTTATGCCTTAACCATCTTCCAGCTATCCTTCAGGAAATCTAGCCATGCTCATCTCCTGTACAGATGTTGCAATATTCACATACATTGTTCTAGAAGACAGTAAAAATGCAGTTATCCGGGCCCTCATCAACAACATTGGCCATGCAACATTCTACGATAGATATGGGAAGGTCTGGTAAGCTTTGGTCCTGAGTACTCATAATCACTGGCGGAGGAAGTTTGATCTTCAGCCCCTTCCCCCCCCCCCCCCGCTGCTTTCCTCCTTCCCGGGCTCTTGAGTCATGAATGTTAGAAACAGGAGGAATACTGGGAGCAACTTCTAAAGATTGTCATGGCAATCCCCAGGTGTGGACTCAGAGACCACAGACTGCTGACTTGCCCTCCTAAGTACCTCTTGCAAGTCAAATATTGGGAGAATTCCCTCCAAAGCCCCAGGGCCTCTCTGTTGCAGGGGTCTCGATGGAAGGTCGGTGAGGCTCTTGAAGATACTCAGAATCCACAGTCCAAAAGGCAATTTCTAAACATGTTGTTATAAGGCTGGAGGTAAAGTAACTGACCCAAGATCACACAACTTGCTGATGGGGTCTGAGAGAGTCTTGGCTTCAAAGTCCAGGTGTTTAATTCATCATTGTACATATAGCCTCTTGTTTAGATAAAGAGGAATGAAGTAAAACAGGTGAGGACCCAATGGGGAAGGAGAGTAAGAGGCTACAACAGAAAGTGCTGGGAAGATTTGAGACTGGAGAGTGACAAGGCTCCATCCAGCAGGATGGAGCCAACCCTACTACAGCAGGCCTCTGAGCCAAAACTTCCCAGTCCCAGACAGCCCAAGCCTGTGTGATCTGGTAGACTGAGTAATCTAGGTTCCCCTAAACCTATCCTCTCCTAATTAGCCTAGGTCTCTGCATCATTCCTTCCTTCATTCCATTCCCCTGAGACATGACAGGCCCAATGACACCAAGTCTAGGGGCTGCTGGTGAGAGCCAGGGCTAAAGGAATATGATGAGTTGAAAGTCCAAACAAAGACAGATAGAAAGGCATAGTGGGGACAGATAGCAGAGAGATCCATCTATCCACCTTCCAGAGCACCAAGATCCAGAGACAGACTATGGAACTGATTGAGGGGCCAGGCTCTGAGAGGCTGAGCGAGGATAGGGCTAGAGCTGAAGACAGCACCTGGTCTCTGGTTCGCCCTCCTTGTTGGAATCTCTTCCATCTTCCAAGACACTGGAGGCCTTTCTGTGGGTTCAGGAGGAAAGGGAAATGTGTAAGGGAGGGGAACAGGAGCCCCACTCTGATGGAGCATGGTTGAGACCCAGGCTCCAGGACTCAGCAGTGTAGTTGTCTGTCCCACTTTCTCTGTCTAGGTCCACCTTGAGCTTCAATCTGGGATACTACTTCCTGGAAGGCAAGCGCCAGAAGGCCTGGAACTGGTGGGACATAGGCATGCACTCCCACGCACCACCCGTTCGACCTATCACCTTGAAGCTCAACCACTACATTCAAGTAGAGATAAGGAGGCAGGATATGATCATCTTTGGCTTTGTCCACAAAAAGAAGCACATTTATTTACATCTGGGCACCAAGTACAAGGTAAGGCCTCTACTTTCCCCTCCCCTCTGTTTATAGTATGCATTGGCCATGCCATAAGACCTCTGGGCCACACCCTGTACCAACACCTTAACCATAGACACATGCACCCATGTAACTTACCAACACTAGGAAGTTGAGCACAGAGGAAACTGATGGCCAGATGGAAAAAACAAATAAATAAGGAGGCCAACAGGTATTGACCTCACGTGACAGCACAGTCCTACTGGGAAGGAGGGCCAGAACAAGGGGAGTCTGTCTTTTCTCCTCCTCAAACACACTTATCCCAGAACAAATGACCACCTGGAACTTGGATGTGCTCTACCGAGAGTGGGAAGACAGAGGAAAGCATGATTAAGACAGATAGTGAGTCGGGATCCTCTAGAGTTCTGACTGTATTAGGGGAGAGGTGGCCTCTTTAGCCCCTGCCTGACAAGGAAGAGACCTGAACCAGACCCTGGTGTTGATCCAGGGTCTCTTTCCCCATTCAACATGAAAGACTCCATTCTCAAATGCACCCGTCACTTCTGGGTGATATCTGGCAGTTGTCTGATCTTACTGTCTCTTTAAGAGGGACACAAGGTTTGGAGGATACCTTGCACAACAACTTTTCTTCATTGTGGTATTTCTACACATGCACACAATGTACCATGAACAACTTCACCCCTCTATATATTCACTCCTTCCCTCCCTCCTCCCTCCTCCGTCCTCCCTCCTTTTTTAAACAGCATTTGGGTTTCATTATGTTGCATTCATTTGAAAATCCTTTTCACCTCTCAGTAGCTCCTCCTTTCCCCTCTCCCTCCCCCTCTCTCTGATTCCACCCTCAACAGCCCACTTTTATGTTTATGACCCATTACCATCATCATCATTTTGGGTCTATACTCCACAAATGAGTCAGAACATATATTTGGCTTTTTGAATTTAGCTTATTTCATTCAAGATTATGACCTCCAGATCCACCCATTTCCTGGTAAATAATACCATTTATGCTGATCATTCTTTTTTTTTGGGGGGGGGGTCCAGTCGTGGGGCCTGAACTCTGGGCCTGGGCACTGTCCCTCAGCTCTTCAGCTCAAGGCTAGTGCTCTACCACTTGAGCCACAGCGCCACTTCCGGCTTTTTTCTTTTTTTTTTGCTTATGTGGTGCTGAGGAATCGAACCCAGGGCCTCATGCATGCAAGGCAAGCACTCTACCACTGAGCCACCTTCCCAGCCCCCTGCTGATCATTCTTATAGTCATATATTTTCATTGTTTTTCTGAACTTCAGCCTATCATTAGTGTCTATTACCACGAGATTGTTGGCATATGGAAGTAGTATGCTGCCTGTCTTATGTCTCTGTATTGAGATTTACATATCTGAGGCCAATTCACTGGTTGGTCATTTTAACCACCTGTGGTCTTGCAGTTCCCAAAGCCCAAGCAAGACTTCGTAGTGGGAGGTTTGCAGTGTATCTTCTGCCTTCTAAGCTGAAGGACAGCTCAGTAGCTAGCCTTTGCCCACATGCTCAGGGCACCAGATCTGGTGTTAGTGCATCACTAAGAGTGTGAAGTCATTTCATGAAAACCTCATCCAAACCTCATGGAAACAGAGCCTAGTGGTATTATCCTTTATGATTTCTCTCTCCAAGACCATCAGCCTCTCTGGGCCACACACAGGTCAGAAGGTAACATATAGATGGTCCCACTGGGGCAAGGTCTCATCCCAATAGAACCCAGACACAAAACTTCAGGGAGCCTGAGGTAGACGTGAGATGCTAAGGGATGTCCTATCCCTGAGAGGCCTGTGGCCCAGCCCTCGAGTAGACAACCCTTAGGCAGAAGCCTCACATTCCACAGAGAACTCAGGCTTTAGTAGGCAGGCCACACCAGGGTACAAGGAATTGTTCCTCTCTGGTTTGCAGTCAGGCTGGCGTGTAACCTAAGCCCAACATTACCACAGTCCATGTGGCCAGGGGCACAGGCCAGTTGGATGTGTTTGAGAGAGCATCAGGAAGGCATCAGTTGCAGGGATGAGGGAACAGATTTTCCCTTCATGGTGGACATTCCTGAATCATGGGCACCGGGCTGTGGGAATTGGGTGTCCAGGCAGCATGGAGCTTCACCTGGCCTTCTATGATTCCTACAGTTCGTAGACTCCGATGTGCTGGGGGAGATGAAGGGGAAAGCAGTTCTGGAGGTAGAACCTGGCCAAGCAGTTCGGAAGATCCAGATCCTTCTTGAAAAAATAAGTCGAATCCTGAAATTTTTGGCCATTCCTGATTTGGAAATGTTCATAAGGCAAGCCAAGATATTACTAATGAAGATCATGTATCCAAGGAGGAAAAAATTTAAAATCTGATTTTAGAGCAGTCACCAATTATTGCCCAGGTCTTATTCAACATCTTCTAAATATCTTGGGAATGGGGAAATCTCAGGAACTCTGGGAAAACCCCCAAAGACCTACTTAAATCTTTAGGATTAGCTTATACTTTAGGACCTGTCAAAATGCTATCACTGAAAAAAAGGTTTTAGGGAGCTAATATAACCTGCTTCTGAGCAGAAAAGACTTGGTGGTCATGCTTGATATAACAGCTTCCAAGGCCGGTTGCCATTTTAGTAACAAACATGCCAATACCTGCTTGCTCTTCTAGTCACTGCTGTGTGGAAGGCTTGCTATTTTTTAGTATTTGTTTTTGTTTTTGTGCCAGTACAGTACTTAGGCCTGAACTCAGGGGCTGGACACTGTCTCCTAGCTTTTTTGCTCGAGACTATACCTATACCACTTGAGCCACAGCTCCACTTCTAGCTTTTTGGGGGGCTAATTGGAGATGAGTCTCATAGACTTTCCTGCACAGGCTGGTTTCCAACCTTGATCCTCAGATCTCAGCTTCAGGGGCGGCTAGGATTACCGGTGTGAGTCATCAGTACCTGGCAATATAGAAGTTCTTTGGCAGTACTTTTGAAGTACTTTTCACCCTCAGGATACAGACAGGTTAGCTCTGCCCCTTATAGCAAACAGCTTTATGCCTCGGTTTCTGCATCTAGAAAAATGGACCTAGAATAGCACTTACCATAATAGAACTGGGAGTATTGAATATGTTCATGCTTATAGCTATTTCTACAAAAGTGTCTGGCCAGTAGAAACCACTTTCTCTCCTTTCTTCATATCTGGGGAGCTCCGGTGGGTGGGGGGGGCACTCCTTCTTAAACATACACCTCTTAGGTGGGTCAGATGTATCATTCTCTTAGGCCTTTATCATCATCATACTCAGTACCATCACCCATGCACATACCATAAGCCAAGTGGGCTTATGCTCAACACCATACAAGTCACATGGCTGTGTGACACAGATAGTACTGTATGGAGGAAACAGGAAGGTGAAATGACTTGCCTAGGATCACACTCACTAGTACCTGGCAATGAAGACTGGTGGTCTGACCTTCCTGGTAACAAAATGTCACTCTGGTGACATGTTGGTTTAGTGTGGTTTCTTTCTTTTTGTAAATGACAGTCAACCCCGAGGCTCAAGGCCCATCCCAAATACTACTGCCCTTATTCTACCAAGATACTGCTGACTGTACAGCTTCACAGCTTTCCAGCCTCCAGAAGTCAAGCTATTCCTCCTGGCTTCAGAACATCTAAGCAAAAGCCCATAACACAGAGCCTCATCTTTGGCCAAGTGCATGTGTAGAAACAGCTCAACTCCTGGACATTGCTTCAGCAATGTCCCAGAGGCTCCCACTAACCCTCATCTCATCACAGACCACTCCCCCACCCCCCATCATCCACCTACCCCTGCCACATCAAGGGGAAAATAGAACCCAGTCTCCATCCATTTCCCAACCCAGAAACCAACCTGGAGCCCAAAGGGAGCCATGTGAAAATAGTTGGGAACTTCTAATCGCTGGGACCCTTCGGTCACTGGTAACCATCATCAAGACAGTAGGTAAACAAAGCAGGAAGTGTGTAGCCTGGGTAAAACATGGATGCAAATGCACTGCTATGAGCCTAGAAGGCCTGCCAAGTTCAGGGGGGATCATCTGTCCTGCTGTGTCCAGCTCATTCTGGAGATGGGTTTTCTGCACATCTCAGTTCACTTAAGTCTCCTGATCACTCTCAAATGAACCTCCTGATCTCTGGTTTTCTCAGTTTGAATGAAGTGTCTTTGGTCCAATTCAGTGTAGCAAAGGAAGTGGGAAAGTTTATCTTGTACACACAGCTTCAGTGGATGCCAAGCATGGGAGTAGATTCTAGAAAAAACAGGCTTAAGTTGGACAGCCTCCCACAAGGTACCTTCTGTATATTCCTGTCATAGCCCACTTCTCAAGATAATCTTAACCCCAAAACAGTCATGGAACCCCCTTCTTAGTACAGCCTAACAATTAATCAGTCCCTACAGAGAACAGTGACACCCAAGTAAGATCTTTGTGGCCTTCTCTTCTCATGAGCTCCCACGGCCTGCCAAAGACCTTCACTGAATGTCACCATCACCCAGACTACCAACTGAGAAGCTACGGTAGGACTAGTGTGGGAAGGCTGGTGGAGATGTTATGCAGTCACATCCACATAGAACTGCCACACCTCACTGGTGAATGGAGAGGACCTGATGGTCCCTGACAGCTTTGGAGGCCAACTGTCATTTCAGTAATGACCCATATCAGCCCCTAGCCTGTTGCTCCTCCCAGTTATTGCTGTGTAGTAGTTGTTTTCCCTCGAGATTCAGACTGACTTAGCTCTGCCTCTTGTTGGCTGTGTGTCCTTGGGCGAGCAGCTTTATGCTTGTTTCTACATCTGTAATTGACCTAAATAATACCGACAATGATTTTATGCATGAACAATCACCCAGGACAAGGACATCGGCTAAAATACAGCACTCCATTGCAAGATAACGAGCTATAAGTGACACACACAACTACTAGAGTCACGTCCCTTTACATGCCAACATCAAAGTGTTAGTGCCATGGGCTGGAATGTAGCTCAGTGGCAATGTGATTACCTAGAAAGTGTAATATCCAAGGTTCTAACCCCAGTACAAAAAGGACCAAAAAAATTTTAAGTTAGTGCCCAGTTGTACAGCAATATTCCATGTGCATATAATCCCTTTTTCTTACTATTATGGTTTGAATCTTAAAGGCCATGTGTTGAAGCCTGTGGCACTATTGGGAGGTGGTGGACCCTCTAGGAGGTGGAGCCTAGTGGGAGGAAGTTAGATCACTGGCGGTGTGCCCTTGAAGGGGATAATGGGACTCTTCCCCCTACCTTCTCTGCTTCTTTCCCACCATGAGGTGAATGGTCTTTCTCCACCACACACTTGCTTATGTCATTCTGCCTGCTACAGACCAAGAGAAGTGAGAGTCAAGCAAACAGGCACTAAAAGCTCTGAAACTATGAACCAAAAATCTTTCTTCATTATAACTCAGACATTTAATCACATCAACAGAAAGCTGGCTGGAACAGTTCACATGCACCAAAGACAGCTTCTGAGCAGCTCTCAGACCCAACTAGGTCATCCAAGCCAGTGGTCATCTCTCAGACCCAACTCCAATACTTGCCCTCCCTAGCCCCCTTGGCCTTCTTACTACATACAATAATTGAAATAAGTCTGCTGTGGAATCAAAAACATGTATGGGGCTGGCAATGTGGCTTATGGTAGAGTGCTTGCCTAGCATGCATGAAGCCCTGGGTTCAATTCCTCAGTAACACATAAATGGAAAAGGCCAGAAATGGTAAGTAGCTCAAGCAGTAGAGTGCTAGCCTTGAGCAAAAGCAGCTCACGGACAGTGCCCAGGCCCTGAGTTCAAGCCCCAGGACTGGCAAAAACAAAAAAAGGCATGTATGTCCTGAAACCAGACAGCTCTGGGTTTAGGTCTGTCCTGACACTGCCACTTGCTAAGTGACCTTGAGCAAGGTAGTGACTCAGTTTCCTTATCTATAATGAAGGGACAATCGTAGAGCAAAGGGCAATGATAAGGATTAAGTTTTTTTTAAAAAACTCATTCAGAGCTGTGCTTAAGTATTGGCTCACACAGTTATCAACCAATCTTTTCTCCTTTCATCATACTCTAAAATCATTATTCTCTTCATTATAACTTATACCTGGCATGAAGAGGTATTAGTTTGATCAAACAGTTTGTGGCTAACAGTTAAAAGCAAAGAGATTTCATACAGAAATGAGTTTCCAAGACTTGTAAAAAATTATATTAACTGAAGTAAGCCAGACCCAAAAAAACATAGGTCCCATGGTTTCCCTTATCTGCAATAACTAGTATATGTCTAGGACAAGCAAAAGAGGTCATATAATCATATAAGCTGATGCTAAGTGAAATGAACCCCAAGATAGAGACACAAGAGATTTTAACTTTCTTGCTATCCTTGTTAATGTACTTATAATGTATTATGTGATTTTTTTTCTTTGAATGTTCTTCCCCCATGGTATAACCCTTGTTGTCACTGTATTTGATTCTGGTGTCCTGCATCTTTTTTTTTTTTTTTGGGTCCGGTCATGGGGCCTGAACTCTGGGCCTGGGCACTGTCCCTCAGCTCTTCAGCTCAAAGCTAGCGCTCTACCACTTGAGCCACAGCGCCACTTCC